ATGATTTTTGTATTTTAATTTACTGTAAATTGTAATTGATCGCATTGGATCCGCACACCTTTCAATCTGAGTGGTAAAAAAAATAATTTTAAAGGGTAAAGTATATCCACTGCAGTGTCTTCACAACACAAGAGTCCTCATTCACAAAAATGTATTTCTATCAAACTGAATTTTATAAGAAACAAAACAAAATAACACTATTCGTCAACACGTATAAACCTAAGTTAAATTATACAAATTATAAATTATTTATCTAAGGGTGGCATCGTCTATCAAGGCTTAAAAAACTTTTTTAATATTATTATTGTGATGTTGTAACTCTTTAACTTGCTTTTCTGGATGACTATAGAAATCCATATACATAAACTCTCTTGGAATAGTCATGGTTGCGATGGCCGCCTAATTTTACACCATACGTTTTACGCTCTTCACCTCTAATGTCGTATCATGTAGCGATAAATGAGTAGAACAGAGCAAAATTCTTAGATTTTCGGTTTCTTGTTTATAATAAACCACAATAAAAATTAATTTAATAGTTTAGTAAATTTTTTTTTTTTTTAGTTAACTATTCGATGATTTTTTTAAATGAAATATATGTTTCTGCACAACATATCGAGAAAAGATGTAATAACAACACTCAAAATGGCAATGTGGTCACTAGTATTATTTTTTTTTTTACTCATCGGATTTTTAGGGTCCGTTTAAACAAATTTAAAGTTAATTTTATTTATTTAGGTACGTCAAGTTTAAACGAATGGATAATATTTAGTCAAAATAAGGAGCTATAGTACAAATATAATCGAACGGCGGTATTGGGGTAGGTAACCCCATAATAATAATATATCGGTAAAATAGATAAAAAAAATTTTTGGTCTCGATTTTGAGTACCACCCTTAATGTTTGCTGCTGTGCGCGTTGCAGTGACCGTTCAGTCTAATCTATCATCCGTTTTGGCTCTTCGACACAAATACACGACAATATCACAAGAATTTTCCACCCAGTTTGTATGATATCATATTACACGGACAATAGTACGATATTAACAATAACGACTTATTATTATTATAACTCTATTTTACATTATTTCATATTACTATTATGATCCGACTAACCTAATATCAGGACGCATCTCGACCACATGTTCCAAGCGTGTCGTCCCTGGCAGAGTAGTGCTGGTGGCGGTGCGGACGATTAACGCACATAACAGACGCGAACCAGAGCGGACCGTAAGTATTTCGGGGCCCGCGGATACTGCGGCACTGCGTCGCGTCGTCGCGCGGGATCTCTTCTAGCCGCTGCCGCCGCCGCAAATCGTGGGAGTAAACGCCGCCCGCCCCCGCCCGCCGCGCCGGTCCGCTGGGTTTCCAGTGCGTGCGATGACCGCGCGCTTGGTATAAGGTAGGTATAATATACTATCGCTCCGGCGGACGTGAGTGGCGGTGGCGCGGTCTGCGAGAAGGAGAGAGAGTCGCAGCCGATCTCGGGCGTGTGCGCGTGGCCGCCGTCGCTTGTGTCTGTGAGCCGGTGGCTCGAAAGAAAGTGAATCCCCCGGACGACCGTGGGCAAGGACGCCGAAGGTGACGTCACACACCGCACGAACCGTACATGTTGTTATTATCATAATAACAATATGGTTGTGATATTATTATTATTATTACAGTAGAGTATAACAATAAAGATGATAATAATTACAGTAAGAAGAATGTATATATATATACGTAGAAGACTGTGGCGTAAAGTCGACCCGTCATCGATGGTTTTGGCGGAAAGACAGTATTAGCAAACAGTATTGCATACAACTGCAGCCTCGGCAGCTATAGGTAGGTAGGTATTTGCGATTTAAAGTTCTTGAGGTAGTATACGAGTTTCCAAGTTTTCGGTGGTATTCGAATTTTGAAGTTTTCGGTGGTATTGCGAGAAACAGCCAAAACAAATGCGATAAAAATGTACTATGGGCAAAAGTTTTTTTGGCTACACCTACGTCTTGGACTGTTTTATGTCGCTACTCACTAATTTCTGCAGCTGTAAGTGCATTTAAGAACCGTCGGTATTTGGTCGAATGCAATGACTTTACTCTACGTAAAAATATGACGCATCACTAGGTCTGATAAGTGATTGTGAAGTAATAGGTACTTCATGTTTATTATTTTATTTTTAAATTTTGAATTTCGTAAAATGTTATAAGTTATAATAAATGACTACAAATCAACGTTAACGGTTCGCGGAAAATTACTACGATCTTCTATTTTTTTTCAACCTCTGACCGATATATTTTTAATGGGAAATGTTAATTTTACAAACGCTGAACGCATATATAATATTTTATAGAAAATAGATATAAGTAACAAATTATTCTGGTACCGTTAATTTCTGAATAATATCTGTTCTATTAAAGTCGGTTAATGAGTGACGGAGTGATCGCAGTTAGAGTGGTCTATTCTTATGACTTATGCTTATGACTAACGTAAATTACACTTCAGAACACATGTTCACTTTCCATATTTACTGTGTACGTTATACTCATATATGTATATTACATTGATTATTATTTTATTATTGTATATACCTAGGCACATTATTAAAACAAATATAACTTTCTTTTTCCTTCTTAGGTAATATTCATTGAGTAACATTTGGAAACAAGCATAGGTACTTACAACTTGTAGCTTACATTTATAATACATACATTACATGTATGAGATCAATACTTAATTTAGTATGAAATAAATACCAGTTAAAATGTGTAGGCATGTATATATTATATATTTAAATTAATAAATTATTATAAACACGTTTAAAGACTTTGATAGTTTTTAATTTTGTTGTGTAGGTATACAGTTAGGATATTTTTAATTGATTTCAGATTAAGTCAAATTTTTGAACTAGAAAACAAAAAACAAAAAATAGATAATTTAATATTAGTTAAAATGTAATAGTCCGAATTACGAGTACGGACTAGGTTGGTAGTAATAATAACAACCATTTTTTTTTTATTAAACTAATATTATTTTAAATTTTGAATTATGTCAATATAATATAATTATTAGTAGATACATTTCTGTCAGACGTTAAGTTAGCTTTAGTTTAATACTCATAACTTCTCCCATTTCCAAGTAGTAAGTTGTTAGTGTGAATGAAATGTAAAATATAATGATTTAAAGTTGAAAGAATAAAATAGGTTTATTTGTTTTCATACTATAAATATAAAAATATAGGTATTAACTATTAAGTGCGTGCATGGGAGTTACTATAATGTACAAACAGTAGCTTTCATTTGATGATTTAACGATAAATAAAAAAGTACATATTAGGTACCTACCTATTACCTATACGTAAAATATAAATTTAAATTAGCTGGAATATAGATTATATAAAATAATAAGTATATTATACTATTAATAAGTACAAAAATGAATATTTGGATTGATGTACCTACCTAGGGTGTATCGATATAAAATGTCTTATTTATTTTCGTTATATTTTACAAAATTTATTTTACCATCAACTCTGGCTTTTCCTAATTACCTACACTATTATATGTATAATAGATATATTCTGCAAATAGCTTAATTGTCACATTTTAATCTCAACATTATTTAACCTAAAGGATATGGAAAAAAAATAGTATACTGACAAGCGCCCAATGTAGATTTCAAATAATTTAAGTATAGTCATTTCTTTATGGTAAGACATTAAAAAGTACATTCTATAACAAAAAAAAAAAAAAATATTAATTTAATCAAAACAAATTATTTAGAATTCTAAGGCAAAAATATGAATATAATTTACACTCATTGATATATTTTTATACATAATATTTATTTAAAAATTATAAATAGGTCGGTACATTTGGTTGATCAAATGTACGTACTTATTAATTTGTACATTGTTAAAGATATAAAATTAAACCAGTATTATAATTTTAAATTTTAAAAAGTGTAGGCCCTACACTTGTCATTCTTAAAATATAATATGTATTATTTACTAAAGTATTTGAATAATATGAAATATTCATAAAATAATTCATTAAACAATTAAGAATTTACATAAATATTTTTGTTTTAATTTAAAAAAATTAATAAATTTAAATAATTTATATTTATATTTTTTCATACGGCCATGGCCATTTATATTATTTATATAAAATAAAATAAAAACAAACATATTCTATTAAAATTATAAATATAAATAAACTTATATAAATTATATACTTCGTAGGATGCAATTACACATTTTCTAATCAAAGAAAACAATTCTGACAATGACTCGGAGTAGGTAATTGTATGAAAAATAAAAATGTTAAGTTGCAACTGTACAAAATATTGGAACTGTGAAAATATAACTTGATTATAACTTGCAATAAATACTAAAATATAATTTTAGGTCGGTTTATTTATGGTTATTATTTTTGTAAGCTATTAACTTTAAGTTTTGTACAACGAAAAGAATATAATTTCATATTGTAAAATAATTATATGAAAATATAATTTTATATACATCATTATAACGACATAAGGCTGTCAGAACGTTCGTTATTCCCTCAGTTAGTGACCTTGTATCCAACCCCGTAATATTCTTTGTCAGGTAATAAAACCAATGTTGTACAGAACAAAAATATCTCTGATAATTTAAACCAGCCAGGTTAATACCTGCCAGTTATTAAAAAAAAAGAAGATCTATTATTGTGTATACAGGTTATAACACTTAAAACCATCTTACCCCTTATGATAGGAATAATCTTTTGTTAGTTTTGACGAGTTTGAAATAATTCTAAAAACCCCCCAGCAACGGAAAGTGGATTTAAATATGACAAAAAATTGTTTTCTTTTGGATGTTTGTTGTCTTAAAATTAATTCATAAAATTACATACGATTATAATAAATTATTATAATCTAAAAACTTATCAATAATTACGTACAATAGATATGAAATTAATTTTATATTTTAATATTTGCACAGTCTTTTAATACACAAGATCTTCATCTGATCAAATTGTTTGTTCATCTTCTTTCTTCAATCCTGAAAAATGTATATGTGTGAAAACGGAGGATATTAAAGTTCTGTTATAAACAATTTTTTTTGGATATTTTTATTTTAGATTCCTAATTAAATATTATTTGTGTTCATTATTTATAAACAATTTATATATATATATTTTAATATAAAAGTATTTGTTGATTTTTTTTCTAGAGTAAGACGTGATACAGGTATAAAATGTATATTTTTGAGTAAATGTATTTTCACCTAACCTATACTTAAGGTGGTACGTATAATACTACTTTCATTTCATGAGATTAAAATGTTTGTGTATTTAAAATGATCCGTTTGAAATTATTGATATCAAATAAATTATTCATCCTTATGGTATTCTTGTCTAATCAGACATCTTGGAATTTTTATATTACGACTTATAGCATTGGATATATGAAAATAAAACTTATAAAATGAAGTTTAATGTGCTATTTCAATTCAAGCTTAGCAGTGTTTATAATATGACATATGTATTTCTGATACTTATGATATTGCGATTTTTCTATCCCAAGCTCATTCGCTACCCGGAAATCAACAACAAGTTTTTACCTCTTGTTATCGGATATCCACATGGCGTACTCATTCACTGGCGTATAAATCAACGACCCTACGCCAACTCCAGTTTGGACACCAGCCAGTTTACCGTCACACCACAGGCTGCTTCCCAGTCGCCCTTCATGCTGCAAAAGTCAAACACAGTTTCATTTTAGCTATAAGGTAGTAAGAAGAAAAATAATATAATGTCTATCCAAGTGCATGATGCAGAACAATAATATCGATTAGTGTAATAATAAAAGTACCTATTATTTTTTATTTGTGCTATACATAATTATACGGACATCGTTTTATATTCTAGGATCTATGTAGATCGTTCTGTTTATCAATGTTTACAATCCATTATTTATTCACTATTTAGTATTTTTTTATAATTCTTATAATTCTGAACATAAAAATGTATTATATTTTTCTTATAGTAAATATTATAATGTACCATTAAACATTTTCATCTTAAGTATTCTACATAGAAACATAAAATAACACAATATTTGGTTTTTTCTCGATTTAATTTTTTTTTTTTTAAATATCTAATTAACGATTCATTTTTAAATTGTTTTTATTTTTATATATAAAATGGTATGATTGACTCTTAATTTATTCCTCTTCAGCTTATAAAATTAGATAATTATTGAAAATATAATTAATTTTAATATTCTATATATTAGATATAGGTACACTCATAAGTCATAATAATTATTTCCTTTCATTTCAATTTATTTTGCACTGCACCCCTGTATATATATTCTATTAAATAATGCATTAATAAAGATATACGCTTTTATGAATATTTTTCTATCACAATATTTTGTAATTCTTGTCACTTTCTCTACTTCGTTTCATGACTAGAAGTACGAAAACTCATACACCCATAGTACTTTTCTCGTTAAACTTACATGGATTCAAAACATTGTATAGGTACCTACCAAATAAATTAAAAGTAATCCTTTCAGTTTATTTTATGTCAAAGTATAGTATTTAATTAAACTTATATTTTCACCTTATTTTCTTTGACTACTTGTACCTAATGATTTTATAATTTTTTGTAAAATGAAGGTTTTTGTAGTTAAATTGTATAGTTTTTTTGCATTAATTTACTGGAATGATAGATGTTTAATCGAGTTTAAATAATCTAATCGCTACAAAAGTATTTTACGTTTTTATTTCAAATTTCTTACGATTTCTGTTTTAATTTCTTCAATGATACTATAACAGTATTTTACAAAATCTGCAGTGTTGTAGAGAATATTATATTAAATATAATATAATATAATATTATTTAATATTTTATCGTATTTTTTTGTGCTATACTATTCATTTATTTATTACTTTATTAAAATGTACAATGATATATGACGTAAAATATGCATATAATACATATTATACCATTATTTTAGCATCATATTGTTGATCACAAGAGGGATAATTAATATTGTTTATCCAAATATTATTGTTTAAATGAACAAAATATGTGGACGCCTCGAGTGGCTAAATGCACGTATACTCACATTGTATTGCATCCTCCAGTGATTGCACGGCAATATTATGTATGGATTGCTAATCAACTTTCGTAGTTGTACGCGGCCTTCACAGTTTTCGGCTGAAATCAAATGTTTGATATAGTCACAGTATTTCTTTTTAATATTTAAATATATATACGAACATGATTTCACTGTATTCTTAAAATTGGGGTTTTGAGAAGTCTTGCATACTTCATTCGTTACGGTATTTTTTTGGCTGAAACATGGAGTACATGCTTGACCCTCGAGTGGAACACTCAAACTAGCTAGTGCTAAATAATATTTCAGGTCAATTTAGATACATGTTGATGAACACATTTTAATAAAATACTATTTACCTAAATCATTGTTTTCTGGTGCGCTTTTAGAAACGGGTGATTTGAAATTCTCGTGCACTAATATATTCGAAATGCTCAATGTCGGTCCCACTAAGTCTTTTCGACTTACTGTCACTTTCCTTATACCAGATTTATTTAACCTGAATTTAAAATAATTATTTATAAGAAAAATGTAAGACATAAAAAATATATGGAATTATCTATATTAATTTTGGATTTTGATATTTTATTTATATGCATATTGAAATATTTCTAAATATTACACTTCTATGAGAAATTACTAAGTTTTGAAAAATGTATATAGAAATAAAAATTAGATACCTAAAGTCTAAGTTTTAATTTAATTTTTGTACGTATTATTAAAATTTAAGTTAAGGATAGAAAATCGTGATCAAATGTTAATAAGTCAAAGATAATTTGTATTAATTGTATGTTCAGATTTTATCTGTTAAAATTGTAATGATTTGAAAAATTGTTAACAAAATATTCTTATTAAAAATTAAAAATGTAAAGATATATTAAATAATAATATGTTTTTTTGTATTATATACTCCTAAAAAGTATTCTTTCTCTCTTGTAGAAAAACTATAAGATGTTTATTAAAAGTATAATTTTTTATGTATTTTACAAAGTTAAAATATTTTAATTAAAGTATTTTATAAGTTGAAAACTGATGATTTAATTTTTTGAGAATTTAGTACAGTTATAGTTGGAAATAAAAATGTGACCCATAGTAATAAATAATAGGTTTTAAACATTATTTTATACGGGTTATATATGAGATTTAAAAAAATATTTTTTAAACAGAATGTTATTCTATAACTTAAATAATATTTCAATATTTGTATACCGTAATGGGTAGTTTAAACCACCAATCTTGACAAAAATTATAAAACTTGCTCAACAATTTTTATTTTTTCAAACAAAGGTTTATTTATTTTTAATTATCATTATTATTAATTTACTTGCATATTCTGACATGAGGTTGGGATTTACAGAGTATATTTTAATGCCTAGTTCGTCATTTTAATTGCATTTAAGTATATATTCTTTCTCAACAGTTTATCTTTATTAGTGAGTTAAATGCATGGCTCTGGTTATGACTATTAATTTAGGTGGACATTTTTCTAAATTTTTTAGTTTGGCTGATAATTAATTAAAATACATTGTATTTATTTTCATGATATTAAGATTCTGGTATTTTGTGTTTCTTTACCTGGAAGCGCATGTGGCAGAAGTAAGTATCCAAATGTCATCTAAAAGTGTTCCATAACACATTGGTTTTTTATCAACCAAAAAAATTATTTCACTTTTACAGGATTTTTGACAAATACGTTTTTCAGCTTTAAATTCGTCATCAATGGTTGGTTCTTCCGTCTCTGATTCAGTTGTATCAGATTTAATAGTTTCGTTGTCTTTTTTGTTCTCTAGAGGTATTTCTTTTTTCCCATATCCTTCGTCTAATGTTTCTTCTGTATTTGTCAAAGGATCCACAGTAGTATCTTGTATTTCAATAATGTCGTTCATTGTTGGTTTTTCATCATTTATACCATTTCTAATCGTATTATCTTCCGTTTTTGTTTCAGTATTTAATATGGCTTCTTCTGCTTTAATATTATTTGCAGTTTCATTTATTAATTGTTCTACAATTTTTTTGACCACCAACTCAATTTCGTTTAGTTTTGCCAATTGATCACTATCCATTTGTGAGGAATCTATATTTTCCCTTGTGTTTCTTCCCAATTTATCTTTAGGTACAGTGTTACTTGCCTTTTTGGTACCTTTAGATTCTATCATCGGTGTCCCGGATTGAGGCGATCTTTGGTTAAACTTACAGCAGGCAAAAGGAGCACTCGGAGTGAATGCACGTTTCAAACCATCACAGTTACCAGTTGGATCTGGCAAAAAATCATCATCCATGGTGCAATCACTACCCAGAAGACAATAACCGAAAGTGTTTCCACATGTTTTGACTCCCGATATTACAAAGAGCCCTTTAAATAAAATAACAATTATAATAAACATTAAAAAGTTAGATAGGTGCCTAATAAAATTATACAATTTAATTTACATTAATATATTTATATAATATATAGATATACGTTGGTAAAATTATTTTTCAGTTTATATATGGAATTTCAATCAAATTCTTGAGTGTAACACTAAATTTAATTGTTAATACATAATACTTTACTGCAATATGAAAACATAAATAAATTAAAAACTGATTCTTGTAAAACAATTTGAGTCCATATGACTTATCAAATGTATTTTTATAAAATAAAAGTTATGGGCACATAACTTTATTGATAAATTAGTTATTCCATTTCAGGTATTCAATTTAAATAACTAAGATTCAGTTTTTAATCACCAGAGGTTTGACTTATTTAATTATTATTAATATTATATTGACATATAATATTTCAATGTTCATACTTCAGATTGAGTTAGGTCAGGTTTTCTAAAAGTTAATAATTAATATTGAATATTTAAAATTTCCTTTGAAAATATTCAAAAAATATTATAAGTGTGATCGGCTTACCTGGGTCTACTAGTGGCATGTTCATTGAGGCCGGCAACGAGGTCACGATGCATATAATGGTTATAAGGAATAACATGACGATGACGGGCCTAAAACAGAAAAACAAGTCTACCCGTGAGTTTAATGCGGAAGTAACAAGTCGCTAGACGTTCGGCGACAAAGTGTTTAGCCGTTTCACAGTCTTGCGTCTTCGTGAGATATTGGTACATATAGGATATATTATATGAGTCACTATTTTGACTCTGTTCTTTCAGTGTCAAAAAAAAAAAAAAATAAGTAAATTCGCCCAAGACACGCCCGCTCTGGTTGACATACATTAGTATTCATGATATACAGTGCAATTCGTACGGACACGTACTTGGAGTACCGTAAGTTTAATTGTGAAGAACAAAATATATATGCGCATTGTAAAGTTCTATGACCTGAAACTGAACTGACCTACAAAGTATTTGCAAATTATAGGACATCGCTGTTTACCATTTTTTTTATTCATATGCTGATAAACTTCCCCAAAGATGATACCCAATATTCGATACTAATATTTCATTGTCATGATTTCTTTAAGATGGAACAAAAACCATTTCAAAAACATAAATTATGATTATTTAGTATGGGTATCATATTAATATTGTATCTAATATTAAATATATTTTTAAATTCTGAGTGAAACGATGAATGTATTTGATTATAAACTTAAGGATAATTTACTATAAAGATGTACTTCAGTGAAATAATATTGTCACAAAATATGAATCTATTTATAGCTTGATAATTTATTATACATTTTCTACCGTTATAATTATACGTTAAATTTTACAAAACTAAATGTAAAATGCTTAAGTTCATCACTTTCCCTGTAACTTATTAAGAGTAAAAAAAGTAGTTAAGTAGTCCTAAATAGTATAATAATATGATATTTAATATAAATGAAGAGAAATAGAAATTGTATAGGTAGTTCCCATAACTGAGTAGAATATTAAATAATCTTCTTATTCTCTAAACAGTCTAAACTAAGATAGAATAATACTCTTTATATTTGGGACCATTAACTTCTAAACTGTGATGAATACATAATTATTTCCTACTAAGATTCAAGACCATACATTGCGGGTCAAGGTCTTCTAAAAACATACCAGAAATTTCAATCTATCTTTTTGACTATATAGAAACCTGTACAGTTCAGACAACTATTTATGTTTTAAACTTGACATATTTTGTTTGTTGACTATAAGAAAATGTACTTTTATCATATTGGGTTACTAAGCAAGTGATAATATAAAATAAGACCATTTTCTGAGTACCTAGCTATGCGTATAGCACTTCCATTGTAATATTATTAAAATTAAATATTCTGTCCATATTATGTACTGCATAAGTTATATATTATACTACATTTATCATCATAAGTTAATCTCTAGTTTTATTGAATGTAAACAAAAATATACATTCATAGGTAGTATTATATTCTTAATTTATAACTAAAATAAAATATATTAAATTACATGTATTCTAATAATAATATTACTCATGCGATTCAACTAAATATAAAGTACTTACAGTTATTTTTAACAATAATTTTAATAATAATTGTATAACATGCTATCGGAAAATAAGAATTGATTTATTCATTTTTTAACTAATTTTAAATAAAATCACGTAGGTACTTACATAAAAATAAAATACTTGAATAAAGTTATTATACCATCATACAATTACTATAATAATGTATTAAAATAATAATGTTGTAATTGTGTGTAGGCGTCTACTACCTATATTATTTACCTTGTATTATGTGCCATTCTGAGAGACTTGAACGATTGGTTATTTAATATTTAACCGACTACCGTGATAACGAACAATGTCTATCCACAGACTACTTGTTATTTTATAATGAACTGTTCTTCTTTCTACGATTTCCCCCGCCAATATTTGTTAATCAATCAAAGTTCCATCGATGTATTTTATAGGTTGATAAAATTAATCGTATTCGACTCAAATATTATTTATCTTAAATAATTTGTATCTTGTCAAACGAGTTCGAGTATATTGAGTGCCTCTGGTTATTTAATGAAATATATTTTTAAAATGGGGTATACATAAAATAAATAAAATAAGGTTTTAATGAGATTGTAAAATATGTATATTATGGGTATTAGATATTAGATCAAATATAATCAGAATTAATAAACTAGTATTTGTTTTTGAACAACACGCATTCCTAACTTTATTCGTAGCACCTATAATAAGAAAAGTGTTTTATAATTAAATTTAAATAGTTTTCATCAAAGCTATTTCATAAAAAACAAATTTATGTTTATCGCATATTTTCTTTTAAAAATCAAAACACTATAGGTACCTATATTATACTAGAAAACTTAAATCCATAAACCTAAACTATAGGTAACTATGAAAGTATTAAGATACATTTTATGTACCAATACATTGTTACATTGCAGTGTAAGACATTCTAATTTCTAATGAATGATACTCATATTAGATACATCATACACGTTATATGTTTAATTGGATATGTTTTTAAATACGATGTACTTTATAATAAAGTACCTAACTATTTAGTAGGTAACTAAATAAAATATAATTCACTGCGCATCCATATTTTGTATGGACAAAAACTGTATAAATCTTAGGTATAGTTAAGAAAAATTGTGATTGCAAATAAATTGTTTTAATTAAATTTACAGTTTGACAGAAATTTGTTTTTAGGTTTTATTTTAAATAACGAGTACATTTTACATATAAAAAAAAAAAAAAAAAAATACAAAAATATCATTAGACTTACAGAGGTTATTATTTAACAGATAATTTGAATAGAAATGTGTTACATGATATTATAATTTTTAAGCATAATATATGCCAAGGCATAGTTTTATTTGAAAGTTATTGTAAAATTAGTTTTATTCGGTTACATATCCATGATCATAATAATATGTAATTCAGGATATGTAAATTAAGTGTGCAAAAGCAAATGTTTATTAGTGCTTATGTCCTATTTATTATATTATTTTTACTTTGATTATAACGAGGGTTTAGTGCGTACAACATAGAGAAATAAACTAAAAACAAGTAACATTTTTTGCAACTTACAGGCTACGGATATCAAAGAAAAAAATCAAAGTCAGATAGATATTTGTTATTATAATGTAAAATTCTATTGATGGGACTATGAAAAACAAAATTACAGTAAGGTAACTTGGTGAAAAATAAAATAAGGTACCTATTATGTCTAATTTTAATTGTAGGGGCCCTTCAGCCAATAAGACTCAACTACTCAAGGGATCAGGACAGTTAACATATTATCCATTCAATACCTTATATAAAAATAAAAATTTAGTATATAGCCCTATATACATTTTTTTTAATCATATAGTAGCTGAGGTTTAAAGTTTTAATCATTTGAGATTATGATACATTTATACTATTTTTGTCTTAACAGACAAAATTACAATAATAAAATAACAAAAATAAAGGAGGCTTAAAAATAATTCAAGTTTGTTCTATTTTATGGAATTATTTATTAGTTTATACTTAAATGTGTATTCATATTTCAGTAAGAATGTTGTGTTCATTTTACATACAATTATTATAGTAATGAGGTAAGAGGTTGCTTATGTAAAGATATGTTGCCAAGTGTCTAACTATTTTACGACCATACATTGTCCATGCTTTCTGTAATAAATATAATGCATTAGTGGTAGATTACTGGTAAATTGAATTTTATGTGTATAATAATAATAAAATATATATTTACAAGGTTTTATCATAAAATCGAATAAAAGTTTTCATGAAATGGTAAACTCGTTTATTCCAAACAAATATGTAAATACCATGTGTAAAAACTAAAAAGTAACACGAATAAAATATATATATTGGAACATTTATTACATTATATTATCCGTTGTTACTTGTTAAACCACTTTCTTCTGTTAGGAATTTTACAACAATAGATATTATTATTATACCAAAACGATTCACCGTTGAAAACAATCATTTCTAGTTCTATAAATAAATGTAATATAAATTGTTGGAAAAATTCAATGTTATTAGTATTTATTACCTATTCATTTCTCGGAAAGTGAGTTTTTTTTTGGATTTTTTAACTATGATTGCTTTAGTAATTGCCTATATATTTTAATAGCCTATATGCATGTATGAATGTATGTGTATAGGTATATAATATGTATGTTTGTAGGGTTATGAGTTTATGACTATTATGAGTATGAAATATATATTTTTAAAATTTTTTTTTTAACTGTGATTTTTAATATGTTTCATAAAATCATCACTAGATGGTCACATTGATTTCATACCTAATTACTGATTATCAATATTTAATTTCCGATCACGATGTAGAGAAGATATATCTATTCGATAATATGTATATTGTATAATGTACTATGTAAGAAATATTTCTATGACATTTTTCACTCAACACTTAAATAAATAGAGGTGTTTACTGTACTTACTATTATAGTTTTAAATTAAAAAAAACAATTTCATAACATTTTAGAATCCTCCATGTATCTAGGTACGTATGTATGCATGTAGTAAGATGCTACTTTATTATGTACTTTATTGGTTGAATAGATATTGTGTATGTAGTGCAATAGTGCATGCATAAGAAGAAATATCTCATGTTATGTTAAGACTAAGGTTAGGTTTTATACATAGTAAATCGGTTAATATTTTTTTTTTTTATTTATTCTTCAAGAAGATAATGGGCCCCACTGAACATGTTCGTGTGGGGGTCCAATAAAATATTAAATGCAACTTTAACATAATAATATAAATTATGCAGTAGTTTCAATATTGCAATGAGTCTGGGCTTCTGGCAATACAGTAGGTGTACAGTCCTACAAATTGTGTACAATAATAAGCAGATTAAAAAAAACCCGTACAAACTGTTTATTTTAGTTTCAGTCAATAACTGGTTGCAAATTTTAATATGTATTGATGGATTGACAGAGAACGGTACTTCTATTTTTATCGTATTATTACCAAATGACTAAGTACCGTTTACCGCTTCAAACAATTGTCTTATAATTATTATTTGAATACCAGAATACAGCAGAATTAGTAGGTATTTAAAATGTTTTATTTTTCTGCATAATTATACTGCTCAAACACATTATATTATGAGTATTGAGTACCTATGGAAATCAATAACTTATAGTAATGTTAGTTCATTTTAATTTGATTAAAGTATATTTATTGTAAATATTTACTTTTTATTGTTATTTCAATTTATAATAAGTAGAATTATTTTACAGTTTTTGACAGTTTTAAGTTAAAGCTGCCTTTAAGCTTGAAGCTTTATTACATATTTTCCTATGTGTGTTGAGAAATCAGAATCTTAGTGGTTACTTAGTTTTGAAAAATTAAGACTTGCTTAGTTTTTAATTTTTATACCCTTATAACTTATTTAGGATTCTGAACAAATATTGGAAAAATAATGTATAATAAGAAAATTCAAATTATATAAGTTATTTTTTGTAAATTAATAGTAGTATTTTTTTAAATGAAATATATCTTAAAAGAATTTTTTTTTATAAATAGGTTAAAAAAATATTAGAAAGAAAAGGCATCCTTGTGACATTATTATGTCGTACGTCAATGTTCAGTCAAAAATCAAAATGCATACCTATGCTCTAAAACCTAGTTTAAAAATAAAATATATTTTGAATATATTTAATATATGGTTCTTCATAATTTGTTAGATACTTGTTATAATACATAGCTATTTAAAAATATTAGAGACACGTAGGTACGATTATTTTTATAAGCACATGAAGTTAGGTTAAATAAAAAAGTGTATACTTAAAGGCTAAATTCACATCGGTTTGAAATTTTTGATAATCAAAAATATTTTTCGAGAGGTTTTAAATTTTGTTGGTACATTATTATATACTATGAACACAAAAAGTCAAAAACCTTTTCAATGAGATATTGAGAATAATTTTATGAAATTTCCTGTTTGTACCATTAACCTATATTAACACCGTTGTGTGGTATAAGTCAGTATTAATTCAAAAGTCAATAACAATAATATATAATATATATTAAATATATATATATGTACTTAAATATACTATTATAATAATTATTAAATATTAATAAAATACTTAATAAAATTAATATTTTCGGTTAAAATGAATGCAACTTACCGTGTTATGCTAATGTCTAATAGATAATAGTAATATAAATTATTATAATAGCAATATAATAAATTAATATATCATACAATGAACTTAGTAATACAAACTGACAGACCGTACTCGCTTAGAATCGCTTTTCGTACCTATGCAATGATTTATCATATTGAATTTAAATTTAACACATAATATATTACGGTGACTTACTCAATGACGACGTACATTCGACACCTACAACTGTACAGCAGAGCGGTTACCTACTAGTCAACTTTTTACTTTTGAACATATTATATCCTCGAGCAACATATATTTGCAAAATGTAAAATATAAATATCTACAAGTGTCTATGATTTATGATTTATTATTTATAATATACATCGATCAACGATCATAATTAATTGTAAATGTCTTAAATGTATTTTTTATTTGATTTTTATCTTACACTCCTATAGTACCTACTTATAGGTTAAACTTTTCTCAATATCTATTTAAATATTGAAACGCATAATATTGATTTATGTTACGACGCAATATTAAATGAAATAGTATTATTTCATTCTCATAATAAATTTACTGTCAAATTAATAATGCTATAGTGTATCGTTTGTAAAATGTTATTTATCTAACTT